CGAGCGAGTGGGAGCCGTGACGTCACCGGAGGGGGCGGTGACGTCACCGGAGGGGGCGGGGCTTACCGGAGAGACACGGAGCTGTGGCGCGCGGCGTGAGAGAGAGAGGGAGCGGTGACGTCACCAGAGGGAGCGGTGACGTCACCAGAGGGAGCGGTGACGTCACCAGAGGGAGCGGTGACGTCACCGGAGGGGGCGGTGACGTCACCGGATGGGGCGGTGACGTCACCGGATGGGGCGGTGACGTCACCGGATGGGGCGGAGCTTGCCGTTGAGATACTCAGATTGATGCTCCTGCTGTTGTGGAGTGACTCATGCAGCCAGCGATGGCTGCAGAGTTTGGTAGCACATGTTGTTTGTGTCGTTTATTGCGAACATTCCGTCACAGTTCCTATGATTGCTTTTTCATCGCTTTCATGGCTTTATTTTTGGTGATTTCGAAAAGTGTATTGGTTTGGCCATGTTTGTGTTGTTGTAGTACAGAGTTAGACTGATGGCCTTGATCTAAGTTGTCTTGTGGTTGTTGTTGTTTGTGTTGTTGTAGTACAGAGTTAGACTGATGGCCTTAATCTAAGTTGTCTTGTGGTTGTTGTTGTTGTTGTTTGTGTTGTTGTAGTACAGAGTTAGACTGATGGCCTTAATCTAAGTTGTCTTGTGGTTGTTGTTGTTGTTGTTTGTGTTGTTGTAGTACAGAGTTAGACTGATGGCCTTAATCTAAGTTGTCTTGTGGTTGTTGTTGTTGTTTGACTTGCATCCCACTGGGATTTTTGCACACAGCGTTGGTGTACACGGTGTTCTTTTCTGCAATATTTTGCTGACTTTTCTTGGATTTTCTGTTTGCACTCAGTCACACATAGTCACTTGAAGATGTCTTCTTGTTCATTAAGATGTTTTCTTGTTCATGTTTTTGTTTTTTGTTTGTTGCGGTTGCACCCGATTCAAGAGCCGAATGGCTCACAGGGCTAGATACCTAATACATGAACTTGAAACTTGAAATGAACTTGAAGGCAGGGAGCGGTGACGTCACCGGAGGGGGCGGGGCTTCCCGGAGAGATTCTGAACTGTCGCGCGCGGCGCGTGAGAGCGGTGACGTCACCGGACGGGGCGGGGCTTTCCGTTGAGATACGGAGCTGTCGCACGCGGCGTAAGAGAGAGAGCGGTGACGTCACAGGAGGGGGCGGTGACGTCACAGGAGGGGGCTGTGACGTCACAGGAGGGGGCGGGGCCTCCACCGACCTCACCTCGTGCAGCTCCTGGCTGGAGCCGTAGAGCCGGTGGATCTTGCGGTACCTGCCCTCCGCGTACTTGGCGCGGACAAAGTCGGCGCGCTCGCTCGCGGTGGGCGGGGCGACGCGACCCTCGCCGTGACCCTCGCCGTGACCCCCGCCGTGACCCCCGCCGTGACCCCCGTGACCCAGGGCCTCGCTGGGAGGGACGAGGGCGGCCCAGAAGGAGTTTGAGCGCTCGTTGCCCAGTGAGAGGAGCATCTGGGGAGGGGAGAGCCGTCGTTGTTGAAGTTGTTGCCGTTGTCGTCAGCAGCGTCAGCATCATCGTCGTCATCATCGTCGTCGTTGTCATCATCGTCATCATCAGCATCATCGTCATCATCGTGATCGTTATCATCATCATCATCGTCATCGTCGTCGTCATCGTCGTCATCGTCATCGTCATCGTCGTCATCGTCGTCATTGATGTTGTCGTCAGCAGCGTCATCGTGATCGTTGTCATCATCATCATCATCATCGTCCTCATCGTCGTCGTCGTCGTCGTCATCGTCGTCATCATCATCATCGTCATCGTCATCATCATTATCGTCATCATCGTTATCATCGTCATTGTCATCATCGTCATCATTATCATTATCATCATCGTCATCATCGACATCGTTGTCATTGTCATCATCATCATCATCGTCGTCATCGTCATCATCGTCAGCATCATCAGCATCGGTAACATCATCATCATCATCAGCTGTGTCAGTTGCAGTCACGTGACTCGTCACGTGACAAGTCACGTGACCAGTCACCTGCACGACATCCTCTGTCCACGCCGTCTGGTCGATGGTGAGGCTGCGAATGCGAGACGCGTTTTGACCCAGCGACCTGTGGGCGCCTGGAGACAAACACAGAGTCGTGGTCAGTGCCGTGTGAGTGCAGTGTGAGTGTGGTGTGAGTGTGTGGTGTAGGTGGTGGTGTAGATGGTGGTGTAGGTGGTGTGTGAGTGTGGTGTGAATGTGGTGTGAATGTGTAGGTGGTTTAGGTGGTGTAGGTGGTGTAGATGGTGGTGTTGGTGTAGGTGGTGTAGTTGGTGTAGGTGTTGGTGTAGATGGTGGTGTAGGTGATGGTGTAGATGGTGTTGTTGTAGGTGATGGTGTAGGTGTAGTTGGTGTAGATGGTGGTGTAGGTGATGGTGTATGTGTAGTTGGTGTAGATGGTGGTGTAGGTGGTGTTGGTGTAGTTGGTGTAGGTGATGGTGTAGGTGGTGGTGTAGATGGTGGTGTAGGTGGTGGTGTAGGTGATGGTGTAGGTGGTGGTGTAGGTGATGGTGTAGGTGGTGGTGTAGATGGTGGTGTAGGTGATGGTGTAGGTGATGGTGTAGGTGGTGGTGTAGGTGGTGGTGTAGGTGATGGTGTAGGTGGTGGTGTAGATGGTGGTGTAGGTGGTGGTGTAGATGGTGGTGTAGGTGATGGTGTAGGTGATGGTGTAGGTGGTGGTGTAGGTGGTGGTGTAGATGGTGGTGTAGATGGTGGTGTAGATGGTGGTGTAGGTGATGGTGTAGGTGGTGGTGTAGGTGGTGGTGTAGATGGTGGTGTAGGTGATGGTGTAGGTGATGGTGTAGGTGGTGGTGTAGGTGGTGGTGTAGGTGATGGTGTAGGTGGTGGTGTAGATGGTGGTGTAGGTGATGGTGTAGGTGGTGGTGTAGGTGGTGGTGGTGTAGGTGGTGTAGGTGATGATGGTGGTGGTGTTAGTGTTGGTGTAGATGGTGGTGTAGGTGATGGTGTAGATGGTGGTGTAGGTGGTGGTGTAGGTGGTGGTGTAGGTAGTGGTGTAGATGGTGGTGTAGGTGATGGTGTAGGTGATGGTGTAGGTGGTGGTGTAGGTGGTGGTGGTGTAGGTGGTGTAGGTGATGATGGTGGTGGTGTTAGTGTTGGTGTAGATGGTGGTGTAGGTGATGGTGTAGATGGTGGTGTAGGTGGTGGTGTAGGTGGTGGTGTAGGTAGTGGTGTAGATGGTGGTGTAGGTGATGGTGTAGATGGTGTAGATGGTGGTGTAGGTGGTGGTGTAGGTGGTGTAGGTGGTGTATGTGGTGGTGTAGGTGATGGTGTAGATGGTGGTGTAGGTGGTGTAGGTGGTGTATGTGGTGGTGTAGGTGATGGTGTAGATGGTGGTGTAGGTGGTGTAGGTGGTGGTGGTGTAGGTGGTGTAGGTGGTGGTGGTGTAGGTGTTGGTGTAGGTGATGGTGTAGGTGATGGTGTAGGTGTTGGTGTAGGTGGTGTAGGTGGTGGTGTAGATGGTGGTGTAGGTGTTGGTGTAGGTGATGGTGTAGATGGTGGTGTAGGTGTTGGTGTAGATGGTGGTGTAGGTGGTGTAGGTGGTGGTGTAGGTGGTGGTGTAGGTGGTGTAGGTGATGGTGTAGATGGTGGTGTAGGTGGTGTAGGTGATGGTGTAGATGGTGGTGTAGGTGGTGTAGGTGGTGATGGTGTAGATGGTGGTGTAGGTGGTGGTGTAGCTGGTGGTGTAGGTGATGGTGTGGGTGCTGGTGTAGGTGATGGTGTAGGTGGTGGTGTAGGTGGTGTAGGTGGTGTAGGTGGTGGTGTAGGTGATGGTGTAGATGGTGGTGTAGGTGGTGGTGTGGGTGCTGGTGTAGGTGATGGTGTAGGTGATGGTGTAGGTGATGGTGTAGATGTTGTTGTTGTAGGTGGTGTAGGTGATGGTGTAGGTGGTGGTGTAGGTGGTGGTGTAGGTGGTGATGTAGGTGGTGTAGGTGATGGTGTAGATGGTGGTGTAGATGGTGGTGTAGATGGTGGTGTAGGTGATGGTGTAGATGGTGGTGTAGGTGGTGTAGGTGGTGGTGTAGGTGGTGGTGTAGGTGGTGTAGGTGATGGTGTAGATGGTGGTGTAGGTGGTGTAGGTGATGGTGTAGATGGTGGTGTAGGTGGTGTAGGTGGTGATGGTGTAGATGGTGGTGTAGGTGGTGGTGTAGCTGGTGGTGTAGGTGATGGTGTGGGTGCTGGTGTAGGTGATGGTGTAGGTGGTGGTGTAGGTGGTGTAGGTGGTGTAGGTGGTGGTGTAGGTGATGGTGTAGATGGTGGTGTAGGTGGTGGTGTGGGTGCTGGTGTAGGTGATGGTGTAGATGGTGGTGTAGGTGGTGTAGGTGGTGGTGTAGATGGTGTAGGTGGTGTAGATGGTGTTGTTGTAGGTGGTGTAGGTGGTGGTGTAGGTGATGGTGTAGGTGGTGGTGTAGGTGGTGGTGTAGGTGGTGTAGGTGGTGGTGTAGGTGATGGTATAGATGGTGTGTGAATGTGGTGTAGGTGGTGGTGTAGGTGGTGGTGTAGGTGATGGTGTAGATGGTGGTGTAGGTGGTGGTGTGGGTGCTGGTGTAGGTGATGGTGTAGATGGTGGTGTAGGTGGTGTAGGTGGTGGTGTAGGTGGTGTGAGTGTGGTGTGAATGTGGTGTAGGTGGTAGTGGTGATGGTGTAGGTGGTGTAGGTGGTGTAGATGTAGGTGGTAGTGGTGATGGTGTAGGTGGTGGTGTGAGTTTGGTGTAGGTGTAGGTGGTGTAGGTGGTGTGAGTGTGGTGGTGGTGTAGATGATGGTGTAGGTGGTGGTGTAGGTGTTGGTGTAGGTGATGGTGTAGATGGTGGTGTAGGTGGTGTTGGTGTAGTTGGTGTAGGTGATGGTGTAGATGGTGCCAGTCTTAGTGTAGTTACCAGCGCACTGCGTGCACACGAGCACGGCCAGGTTGAGCGATGTGATGGTGTAGTTGGTGGTGTAGGTGTAGATGGTGTAAGTGGTGTTGTAGATGGTGTTGGTGTAGATGGTGCCAGTGTAGTTACCAGCGCACTGCGTGCACACGATCACCGCCAGGTTGAGCGATGCCCACGCTGGACCCGCCGCTCCACAATCGGCGCAAGAATCGTTCCCGGCGGCCGCCACCAGCCGGCCCAGGACCTCGGGGTCTCCGAGGGCCTCTTCCTGAGCCTCCCGAAGCCTGGCGAGCCACGTGGCGCGCTCAGACTCCGAGTCCGTCGAGAACCTTGGGGCAGTGACGGGGGGAGACGCGTCGTGAAGTGGTGGTGTTGGTGTTGGTGTAGTTGGTGGTGTAGGTGGTGGTGGTGGTGTAAGTGGTGTAGGTGGTGGTGGTGGTGTAGGTGGTGTAGGTGGTGGTGGTGGTGGTGTAGGTGGTGGTGGTGTAGGTGGTGGTGGTGTAGGTGGTGTAGGTGGTGGTGTAGGTGGTGTAGGTGGTGTAGGTGGTGGTGTAGGTGGTGGTGGTGTTGGTGTCAGTGTTGGTGGTGGTGTAGGTGGTGGTGTAGGTGTGGTGGTGGTGTAGGTGGTGTAGGTGGTGGTGGTGTAGGTGGTGGTGGTGTTGGTGTCAGTGTTGGTTGTGGTGTAGGTGGTGGTGGTGGTGGTGTAAGTGGTGGTGGTGGTGGTGTAGGTGGTGGTGGTGTAGGTGGTGGTGGTGTAGGTGGTGGTGGTGTAGGTGGTGGTGGTGGTGTAGGTGGTGTAGGTGGTGTAGGTGTAGGTGGTGGTGGTGTAGGTGGTGGTGGTGTAGGTGGTGGTGGTGTAGGTGGTGGTGGTGTAGGTGGTGGTGTAGGTGGTGTAGGTGGTGTAGGTGGTGTAGGTGGTGGTGTAGGTGGTGGTGGTGGTGGTGTAGGTGGTGTAGGTGGTGGTGGTGGTGTAGGTGGTGTAGGTGGTGTAGGTGGTGTAGGTGGTGGTGGTGGTGTAGGTGGTGTAGGTGGTGGTGGTGGTGGTGTAGATGATGGTGTAGGTGGTGGTGGTGGTGTAGGTGTAGGTGGTGTTGGTGGTGTAGGTGGTGGTGGTGTAGGTGGTGGTGGTGGTGTAGGTGGTGGTGGTGTAGGTGGTGGTGTAGATGATGGTGTAGGTGGTGGTGTAGGTGGTGTAGGTGGTGTAGGTGGTGTTGGTGTAGGTGGTGGTGGTGGTGTAGGTGTAGGTGGTGGTGGTGTAGGTGTAGTGGTGGTGTAGGTGTAGGTGGTGGTGGTGTAGGTGTAGTAGTGGTGTAGGTGTAGGTGGTGGTGGTGTAGGTGGTGTAGGTGGTGGTGGTAGTGGTGTAGGTGGTGGTGGTGTAGGTGGTGGTGTAGATGATGGTGTAGGTGGTGGTGGTGGTAGTGGTGTAGGTGTAGGTGGTGTAGGTGGTGTAGGTGGTGTAGGTGGTGGTGGTGGTAGTGGTGTAGGTGGTGGTGGTGTAGGTGGTGTAGGTGGTGTAGGTGGTGTTGGTGGTGTTGGTGTAGGTGGTGTAGATGGTGATGTATATTATGGTGTAGTGTATAGTGTAGTGTATAGTGTAGTGTATAGTGTAGTGTGTAGTGTATAGTATAGTGTATAGGGTAGTGTATAGTGTAGTGTATAGTGTAGTGTGTAGTGTAGTGTATAGTGTAGTGTATAGTGTAGTGTATAGTGTATAGTGTAGTGTATAGTGTACTGTATAGTGTAGTGTATAGTGTAGTGTATAGTGTAGTGTATAGTGTATAGTGTAGTGTATAGTGTAGTGTGTAGTGTAGTGTGTAGTGTATGTAGTGTAGTGTGGTGTGTAGTGTAGTGTGTGTAGTGTAGTGTGTAGTGTAGTGTGTAGTGTATGTAGTGTAGTGTGGTGTGTAGTGTATAGTGTGTAGTGTATAGTGTGTAGTGTATAGTGTGTAGTGTATAGTGTAGTGTATAGTAGTGTATAGTGTAGTGTATAGTGTAGTGTATAGTTTAGTGTGTAGTGTATAGTGTAGTGTATAGTGTAGTGTATAGTGTAGTGTATAGTGCAGTGTATAGTGTAGTGTGTAGTGTAGTGTATAGTGTAGTGTATAGTGTAGTGTATAGTGTATAGTAGTGTATAGTAGTGTATAGTGTAGTGTATAGTGCAGTGTATAGTGCAGTGTATAGTGTAGTGTATAGTGTAGTGTATAGTGTAGTGTATAGTGTATAGTAGTGTATAGTAGTGTATAGTGTAGTGTATAGTGTATAGTGTAGTTTATAGTGTAGTGTATAGTAGTGTAGTGTATAGTGTAGTGTATAGTGTAGTGTATAGTGTATAGTAGTGTATAGTAGTGTATAGTGTAGTGTATAGTGTAGTGTATAGTGTAGTGTATAGTAGTGTATAGTGTAGTGTATAGTGTAGTGTATAGTGTATAGTGTAGTGTATAGTGTATAGTGTAGTGTATAGTGTATAGTGTAGTGTATAGTGTAGTGTAGTGTATAGTGTAGTGTATAGTGTAGTGTATAGTGTAGTGTATAGTGTAGTGTATAGTGTAGTGTGTAGTGTATAGTGTAGTGTATAGTGTAGTGTATAGTGTAGTGTGTAGTGTATAGTGTAGTGTATAGTAGTGTATAGTGTAGTGTATAGTGTAGTGTATTGTATAGTGTAGTGTATAGTGTATAGTGGTGTATAGTGTAGTGTATAGTGTAGTGTATAGTAGTGTATAGTGTAGTGTATAGTGTAGTGTATAGTAGTGTATAGTGTAGTGTATAGTGTATAGTGTAGTGTATAGTGTAGTGTATAGTGTATAGTGTAGTGTATAGTGTAGTGTATAGTGTAGTGTATAGTATAGTGTAGTGTATAGTGTAGTGTATAGTGTAGTGTAGTGTATAGTGTAGTGTGTAGTGTAGTGTATAGTGTAGTGTGTAGTGTAGTGTATAGTGTAGTGTATAGTGTAGTGTGTAGTGTATAGTGTAGTGTATAGTGTAGTGTATAGTGTAGTGTGTAGTGTAGTGTATAGTGTAGTGTATAGTAGTGTATAGTGTAGTAGTGTATAGTGTAGTGTATAGTGTAGTGTATAGTGTAGTGTATAGTGTAGTGTATAGTGTAGTGTGCGGCTACTTGTATGTGACTTGAGGAGTGGTGATGGTGAACGTGGTAGCTGCCTGCTCCTTCACACTCATGGTTCGCGTGTCGCAGAAGAGCAAACCCAGTCCTGCCTCAAGCTCCTGGTGACAGCAAAGACAGATCACAGCTACACACACACAGCTACACACACACACAGCTACACACACAGCTACACACAGCTACACACACAGCTACACACACACACACAGCTACACACAGCTACACACAGCTACATACATACAGATACACACACAGCTACACACACAGCTACACACACAGCTACACACACACACACAGCTACACACAGCTACACACAGCTACATACATACAGATACACACACACAGCTACACACACAGCTACACACAGCTACATACACACAGATACACACAGCTACACACACACACAGCTACACACACACACAGCTACACACACACAGCTACACACACACACAGCTACACACACACACAGCTACACACACACAGCTACATACACACAGACACACACAGCTACACACACACAGACACACACAGCTACACACAGCTACACAACAACAACAACAACCGCCATTCGCCACGTGGCAGTGACGTCACCACGACGCTTGTGCCAGGCCAAGTGCACCTTGAGGCCATGTGAAGTGTCGAACGCCCGCTGGCAGGAGGTCACGGGGCAGACCCAGCAGGTGCCATGGGTTGTACTGCTGTGCCAGGCTAGGTGCAGGAGGAGGTCACGGGACAGACCCTGCAGGTGCCATGGGTTGATTGCCGTGCCAGGCTAGGTGCAGGAGGAGGTCACGTCACAGACCCAACAGGTGCCATGGGTTGATTGCTGTGCCAGGCTAGGTGCTGGAGGAGGTCACGGGACAGACCCTGCTGTTGCCATGGGTTGTACTGCTGTGCCAGGCTAGGTGCAGGAGGTCACGGGACAGACCCAGCAGGTGCCATGGGTTGACTGCTGTGCCAGGCTAGGTGCAGGAGGAGGAGGTCACGGGACAGACCCTGCTGTTGCCATGGGTTGTACTGCTGTGCCAGGCTAGGTGCAGGAGGTCACGGGACAGACCCAGCAGGTGCCATGGGTTGACTGCTGTGCCAGGCTAGGTGCAGGAGGAGGAGGTCACGGGACAGACCCTGCAGGTGCCGTGGGTTGTACTGCTGTGCCAGGCTAGGTGCTGGAGGAGGTCACGGGAAAGACCCTGCAGGTGACTGCTGTACCAGGCTAGGTACAGGAGGAGGTTACGGGACAGACCCAGCTTGTGCTATGGGTCGACTGAGTGAGATGACTGGCTGATGCACCACCTGTGCCCCCTACAGTGCCAACTTGCTGTGCTTTAGCCACCCGGCGCTCCGCTCGTTGTTGTGAGCGTCGCTCCTCCGCCCTCCGTTGTTGTTGAAGGGCGACTGCCTCCAACTGCCCAGTAGCGTCCTTCACGAGCCTCCTTCACAGAGGCCGATCTTGACACCGCTGGTACCAGTGATCGGCAAGTCCACTCAGCTCCACGTCCTCCTGTACCACATCACTCCATCTCTTCTCTAGCCTGTGCCGTGCCCATTTAGCCCCCTCGATCTCACCAAACAAAAGCTGTTCAGGCATGCGGCCTTGCCTGCCGGAGGAGCTCACCGATGGGAATGTGTCCAGATCTTTCGAGGATTTGTGAGCTCCTCACACAATCCAGCCTGCAGGTTTTAACCCAGGACGGATCGTAGGCAGGCGCAGATGGCCCAGTGGGAATGAAGATCCAATTACCATTCTTTTCCTTAAGGTTGGTGATGGGTGAGGCGCTTGCAAGTTACTTTTTTATTATGGAATTGATCATTTGTGATCACTAGCTACCAGAGGTCGCAAACGGGTACCCGATACCCATACCCTTCCCGATACCCGGCTACCCGTACCCGGCCGGGTATGGGTACGGGTACGGGTACAGGTAGCCCTTTGCGACCCTGGTGCGGCCGGGTATGGGTACGGGTAGGCCGTGAGTCACTGGTGAGTAACCGTTTGTCACTCATTTCGGGTAGGGTACAGGTACGGGTAGGGAACGGCTACTCGTACCCGGCCGGGTACGGGTACGGGTACCCATTTGCGACCCTGGTGCGGCCGGGTACGGGTACGGGTAAGGAATCAAAACCCGTTTGCGACCTCTGCTAGCTACTGACGCAGATTCCATCTCCTTCACAACCCGCGCCCACCACCACCACCCATCCTTGCATCGCCTCACGGCTCTCCGAATCTCCGAGCGAAGGCTCCGGTAAGCCTCCTCATTTTCCGATGTTGCATGTTTGAGACGATGGGAGTAGGCCTGTCGCTTTCACTCAACCAGCCGGAACACCTCCTCCGGCAGCCACCATCTCTGGGGAGGTCTGGACAGCGTACATGAATGCAGTCCAGCAGATGTTCTTGCTTGGACCCGGCATGCATCCACGATGCTGTGTGGATGCGCCGATGCCGGAACAGCGTGGTTGGTGATTACAAAATCCACGAGCTGCACAGGAGTCTATCAGCCTCCTCCTACCGTTGTTATTGAGCTGATCTGGCACACGCCTTCCAATCACTCCAGACCAGGTGCCATCATCATGAACCAACTCGGGCATTAAAGTCACCCAACCAGGATGACTCTATCCCGAGGGGCCACTTTAGCCAGCACCCGTGACAGGAGGTTACAGAAGGCATCCGACTCATTAGCCTTGCCTGCATCCCTCCACGGATGTTCATCTTCGTTGGGGGCATAAGTAACCACCACCACTCCTCACCCATTGTTCATGGGGAAGCGAGCCCACAGTAGGCTGGGGCTTACAGCTTCCCACACCTCACCGCCACGCTCCCACGCCCCCTTCATTATTTTGATCAGAAGAGCCACTCCCTGTTGTTTGGAAGCTTCCAGCCACCCAGTGGAGAACTGTCCACCCCTCGTGATGATCGGAGCCAGGACCGGTCCACTGGTACCGGTCCAGCTCCCGACAGATGAGTGGCAGCCTCTCCTCTGTGCACTCAGACACCAGAACCGGTCCACTAGACCTCCTGTATTCCACAGAGTGGCCCAGGTGGTACCGGTCCAGCTCCCGACAGAGGAGTGGCAGCCTCTCCTCTATGCACTCAGACACCATAACCGGTCCACTAGACCTCCTGTATTAAACAGAGGCCCAGGTGGTACCGGTCCAGCTCCCGACAGATGAGTGGCAGCCTCTCCTCTATGCACTCAGACACCAGAACCGGTCCACTAAACCTCCTGTATTCCACAGAGGCCCAGGTGGTACCGGTCCAGCTCCCGACAGATGAGTGGCAGCCTCTCCTCTGCACACATTAGAACCGGTCCACTAGACCTCCTGTATTCCACAGAGGCCCAGGTGGTACCGGTCCAGCTCCCGACAGATGAGTGGCAGCCTCTCCTCTGTGCACTCAGACACCAGAACCGGTCCACTAGACCTCTTGTATTCCACAGAGGCCCAGGTGGTACCGGTCCAGCTCCCGACAGATGAGTGGCAGCCTCTCCTCTGCACACATGAGTACCGTCCACTAGACCCCCTGGCTCAGTCCTTTGTTATGTAGACTAGCCGTAGTTTCAAGCCGCACCAACCTTACCATATTAATAAAAAGGGGGCCTGTCCTGACTCATCTCCCCCTCAACCAGTATATATAGTAGTATCTCTTGGAATTTCTCATTTACTTGATACAGCAATCGTGCTGTGATGGTTCCACCTGAAGACGGAAGCTTGTGTTGCCTCTGAAACGTCGTGATTTGATTTTTTGTACTTTTTTAAACTTTTATTAATTTAATTTTTTTACCTACGTGGTGACTTTACCGAAAAAACCTAAGAATATGAACCCTTGCAGTCACGAAAGCTTCAAATCTAGAAATAGACCCCCTGTATTCCACAGAGGCCCAGGTGGTACCAGTCCAGCTCCCGACAGATGAGTGGCAGCCTCTCCTCTCTGCACTCAGACACCAGAACCGGTCCACCAGACCTCCTGTATTCCACAGAGTGGCCCAGGAGGTACCAGTCCAGCTCCCGACGGATGAGTGGCAGCCTCTCCTCTGTGCACTCAGACACCAGAACCGGTCCACCAGACCTCCTGTATTCCACAGAGGCCCAGGTGGTACCGGTCCAGTTCCTGACAGAGGAGCGGCAGCCTCTCCTCTGTGCACTCAGACACCAGAACCGGTCCACTAGACCTCCTGTATTCCACAGAGGCCCAGGTGGTACCGGTCCAGCTCCTGACGGATGAGCGGCAGCCTCTCCTCTGTGCACTCAGACACCAGAACCGGTCCACTAGACCTCCTGTATTCCACAGAGGCCCAGGAGGTACCAGTCCAGCTCCAGACGGATGAGTGGCAGCCTCTCCTCTGTGCACTCAGACACCAGAACCGGTCCACTAGACCTCTTGTATTCCACAGAGGCCCAGGTGGTACCGGTCCAGCTCCCGACAGATGAGTGGCAGCCTCTCCTCTCTGCACTCAGACACCATAACCGGTCCACTAGACCTCCTGTATTCCACAGAGGC